GTGAATTTGCATAAAGACGGAAGGGTCTTCTGACTGAGGAACATCCACAGCTAGATACATTTGAACAAGTGGTCAATTACAATGGTTCCTTTCCACTCCTCGAATAACTTCATTGTGTGTGAACTTGTTAAAAAAATGTCAACCATTATTAGGGAGAATTCGATTCGCATAATCGAGACAACTCGAGTACAATGAGTCGAATTCTCTAATACAAAGGACGTATAGTTTCCATAAAATGTGTTAACTAATTTTCGAAATACCCGTATAAAACAAAACGGAGGGAGTTTATATAAAGAACTGCTGATTTAAACATTTGCTTATAATAAAGAATTAAAATGCGAAAATGTCCCCCCGAAAATCAGCGAATGAATCCCGAAAAATAAGCGTTAAATAAATGCAAAATGCGTAGCCCCTCGTCTCATTTTATCCCCGGGAACACGTATATAGAGGTCGTCAAAACGGGTACGTCTGGATTTAACAAGAAAACTGTCAGCAACATTCGCACAATATTTTTGGGAGTAAACTCTCCAGCCATGGCCATATCGACGCTTCCGATTGAAGGCCCGTTGCTATGGCGACGTCGCGGCGCTTGCGTCGCCACCGTCGACACATGTACTTCTCGTTAATGTCGATTTTTGATATACGCCATCTTATATAAAATACGAGAGTCGGGTTCTCCCTAATTGGTTGGCTTAGCGGGATCGTTTCTCCAATTTTCGGTTCGATCATGTTCAGTCCTCCCGACGATTTAATAAAGTATTGTTGTCAGTTTACTTTCGTTTAGATTCCGTTTCGCTTTGTTCTTTTCTTTATCATTTTATACTCGTTCCAAATATTTCATTTAATTCTTGTTCTTCTTTATTACATTATTACAATTTATTCTCGTATAATTGTTAATATAATTTGTCTATTATTTTCTATAATATAAACTTCTCGATATGTTATTTTCATACTTGGTGGAAAGGTAATATTTTAATGCAAATTTATCAGATAAAAGCGTTGGAATAATAATAATTAAAGTAAAATTGTCGCATAATTAATGGAATTTGTGCAATAATACACCAATAAACAAAGTTTATCAATAAAAAATAAACGTAAAACAGCATTGTTCACAATAAATTTCTTTAACTGAATCGAATAATAAAATAACTCTTTAGGTGCCCAAGTATACCTAAGTATAATAAAAAAGCGTTCGTGGCAAATACAAGTTTAATAACCCGTAACAAAAAACACCGTATACTTATCGGGCTAACTTTATCTTTCTTCATGCTATTTACTTTCCATTAACGAAAGGCCGGCCCGTATCCACGAAAACAAAAAAAAACACAAAAATAAAATCGGGCAGGATTAACGCCGTTCTCGTACCTATAATTATTGTAACGCAAAAGGGACTTCGCTTTCGGCACGCACCAGCGACTGTTTCGTTACGATACGAATGATATTATCGAGAACATTAGCGACTAGGTTTAGGGTCGAAAAGGGACGTCGAAAGGTCCAGGCTAACGGGAAAATGGAGTTAGGTTTATTAAGGAAGTTAGCTCGGGGAGTTCCTATTTTTATCTGCCCTCGTTGCAGACGGGAATTATCCGACGTTTCCAGTGATTGTTTTAAGTATTCAGCTAATCTGCATGCATAGTGTGCTTGGATTAGATTCCTTCATAAAATTAGAAAATGTCCTGCAAATACTATGCACAGTGTATTCCAGAATTAGTTTAAATATAGAGATGCATTTTCGGTATTAATTTATGGATGAATTCGTCGGTCTCTGAGCAGCAAACGCTAAAAATATGGAAAGCAAAGTAGCAGAGCAGACCCGTTGCCGTTGCCGTTCCAATCGATTGTTTCCCCAGCTGAGCTATGCAAATCAACTCGTGCCGTGCTCTGTATTTTATGCAGTACATTCCATGGAAGATACAAGCCAGCCCGAGAGCCTTTTACACGATGAAACACTTGAATTACACATCGCATTCAGCCACAGATATGTACATAAAGCTCTGTTATCTGCGTTTTATTCCCGCCAAGGTTTTTCTAATAAAATCGCTTTGTCAGGATTTGATAGGTGCCTATACTTACGAGGAGTTATTTTATGTTATAAACTTTTATATTATACTTACTAGTGCTGAATAAAACTGAAACGAAAATGTTTTATATTTATATACGAACATCAGTTATTTTTTTTTTTGGATTTTCGTAAAGTTTTAACGACTATATTCGCAGTGTTGCAAGCGTTTCCCTAAAAAATACATTATTTAATTTGAATAAAAGACCGGCATCGACCCCGACCCGTTTCAATTTTCGAAGTTTGGAAAACTCAAGAAACTGTGAGTTATTTATGAAGGAGCGAGGAGCGCAGCAAAGGGTACCGGCGTTGCTCACAATCCATTCCGGTTCATTTGTCAATGTGAAAATGATAGAAAAGCACCGTCGTCGTATTTCATCTTCGGCCGGGGCGTCTCGCGAATCTCTTTACGAGACTTTTATGTCAGCGCCCAGATATTCTTGTTGTTGAAGTACGAGAGTAATGGACCATGATATTTTTACGAAAATTGAAACGTAAATAAACTTTTACGACTGTTGGAAAAAGTTTCCGTTGCCGGGGAAATCTCTCTGTTGTCGTGATATATATTCGAGACCGACGAGGTAGATAAAAATGTTTATAGATACTGACGATTCAATGAAAAATATTGACGTTATTCTTTCGTTTATTTATATTTAAGAAAAATTATATAGGCATTGATAGTGTTATTATAATCAACATTCGCTTATTTCAAAATAACTAATAGTGATATATTTTCTCAAACTTCCTCAGTTATTACAAGAGACATACTTTACCTATACTAATTTGTTTTATATAGAATTAAGTGTATGAATAAATTTTTGTGACTATTAGCTATAGCTTTATTTATTTTCTGGTTTCATCATCATATGATTAGGTAGTAAATTGTTTCGAAATATAAAAATTTAATTACAACTACTTCTATAAACCTAATATTACCTACCCAAATAAACAACTTTAAAATAAGTTTAGTTTGTTGAAGAACATTATTAAATTTTTATTCCTAATAATATCTACCTAGAGCTAGTTATATTACCTATTTGTTAACTTTGATAAACTTTGATTATCGCCACGCACCTACACGTAGGGCAGATAGCTGATAATTTCCCAAATAATTCGAGTTCATCAACAGCAATTATCGAATTACCGAAGAGCTCGAGAAGTAATTCGGAAAATCAGAGCCTATATCTCGAGCACATCTTAGCGAGAACGTTACGACTAGTTCGCAGATATGGATGGTAGACTTTGATCTAGACATTTGCATATGATATAGTCCCCGGGTGCTGGAGAAGGACATTTTGGGAAAGATAATGCCCCACGTTAGGGTTAACGACGGTGTTCACGGCTTTGCCGCTACAAACCCCCGTTTGATGATAAAGGGATGTGCGGTGTGTTGCTTTCAATGATTATAATTCCCGAAATAGGGAGTATAGAGGTGGGTTTCAGACCGATGTAAATGTACTTGCTGCGCTCGTTGTAAAATGTTCATTTTTGTCTTGTGTAGGTACTTCTATTTTATTATACATGTACAGGTATAGTAGTATATTTATGTAATGTAGTAATGTAAGAAAATATAGATTATTTTTATGACTTACAAACAATTTATGAACGTAAACAAAATTATAGATATATATTTCATAATTAGACGAGTATTTATGTAAATTACGTATTATTATAGGTATCTACTTATTCGTTTACAATTACAGTAGATTTATCTTTATTTTTTGTTTAGGTAAATATACGTATATTATCGATATAACAATGTCTCAGCGTCTACTTATTTCCATATAGGTAAGGATAGGTAAGCATAATAAATTCCATTTATTTGGTAGGTAGGTATCTATACAGTCGAATATAATTATTTAAAAATTTCATCCACTAATAGATAGACTATATTTCTGATGTAAAAAACCCTGGTTTTACTGATAGGTATATAAATGGCTAGTGGGTAAGTATAAATATTTATACAAAGGTTACTTTAGACGTATCAATTCACCTTTAAACGTCTATCAATATTTTTTATGCCTACATATTATAAGTATGTATAGCCAAGGTTTAATGATGCTTGTTTAAAGTATTGAAATACTTCAGACGAATAACTGAAATAGCCAATATAAAAAATGTTAACCCATTTTCCTCGGACCTTTAACAATCATTTAAAATATTATATATAGGAAATGACTGCGTAATTTCTTTCTTGTTAGTTTATTTGATGATGGTCATGTATATCATGATCTTAATTTTATTAGGAATTTGATTTTGAAAATAAATTGTGTTTTTATATGAAAAAGTTTACAATGATTAAGTATATAGAAAATACTGCCTGAATTTACCTACAGAAGTTTTATATAGGAAATATAAAATATCTATTAAATTTTACAATAAATTCCCTTGAAAATACTATATTAAATGCAGGTAAGTAGGTAATTGAATAATTTTTAAATTAAATCAAGTAAAAGCATCAATTACCATTATACTCTTAGTCGTTTACCATCCGCATACATATTCATATAGTTTACATTGCACTTCTTGAAAGATCATCGATAACTCCATTACCTAATAGCCGGTATAGTTTTCGAATCTTATCTAATTACTAATTAAATCCACCGCTATGATAATTGAACCAATTAAACGTTTTCTGTATAGCGACCAACAAATTAAAAGTGATGCGAATCGAAAACGAATCCCATTAACGCACTTTCAGGAACGAAACCGAACGCACAACGGGCGCCGGTTTACACCAAGAATCGTTTACATTCGGAAACATGTTAATTTCTATAAAAAAATTACCATATTCCAGAGGAAAATTTGGCATGCACGGGAATTTCGGTCCCGTTCGCGCCACCTATTGCTCCGACGAACAATCGCCATCAACCATTTTGTTTGTGGTGCCCGAGCCGGCCGCTAGGTGCTTGAAATTCGGCGCATGATCATTGGTTCACGCATGACCGACGCCCCTAGCAATGATCCCACCCCCGATCCCTACCAGCGCATCCCCACCGCCCGGCGGACTTCTCCTCGCTTCCCGCCGAGTGGGGGGGTCTGGAAATTTTCGGTGGGAGACAATAAACACGTCGTTATGGTAAAACTGTATTGGAGTTGTTTTATTTCACATAAAATTGTTAACTGTATCTCGATATTGATTTATGTATGTATTTATAATTTTAAATGCACATTGCACAAGGTCGAGTATGGAATTGCTTTTTTATGGGCAAAGAAATGCCTTTAATTCGTGTTTACGCTCGGTTTTTAATTCGGTTTTTTCCGAGTCTGCAAATTCATCGGAGTTGTGAACAGATTATATTTATTTTTTCACGATACCGGTAGGTATGGATTCATGTCCGTTGAATAAAGAGGATGTGTATACCGAACGATTTGTAATGCTTTTTAAGTAATATATTAATAAAGAATTGGAAATGTTTTTTGTTTAACCGTAAGAGAATATACGAGATTTTTTAAGTAAGAACTTAATATGTTCATAGGTAAAAAACGTGTAGAAAATGTAGATATTATTCACGAGATGTATGTTTACAACAAGAGCCGTAGGCGAGTGCCATATTAATTGTTTATGTGTACATATTAATTAACTAAAAATAAAATCAGATATATTTTTACGTAATTTATTACTCACTTACTTAATAAAATTTTACTTTTTTTAAAGAGACAAACTAATAAATATTCTCTAAAAAAATTGAATCAATCTGAAAAAATCTGAAAAAAATTTGGAATCAAAATCGTATAAAAAATAATAGATAATATAGGATAATGAAAAAATCAAAAAATAATACGTAAAAAAATTGAAATTACGAAAATTGTAATAAATAATCAATAAAAATATAAAAAATAATTTTAATTGTCGAAATGCATAAAACCTGTATAGCTATTTAAAACAATGTAAAAATTAAGGAAAAAAAAATAATTTATTTTAACATGTAGAAATACCATACAGGTAGGTACATAACACTATAAAGTCCTAAAATATTTCTAAAATTTCTCAAAAAAAAAATAAAATCCCCTTCAATTTATATAAATAACATCAACAAAAAGTTGAATAAAAAACAAAATCAATGCAACATATAAAACAGAATACTTAATATTGTTTCATGACTTTGCAACTCACCGGATTAATCGATTTACTCAAATATGTCCGGGTAGGATATTCCCGTTGATGAAAAAAGGAATATACATTAATTAGCTTCAAGAATATATAAAAATAATTGTTACGGGTCTTTTGTGCATGCGAACGCCATACCTCGCAACGAACGACACATGCTCCAAGAAGCAGTTGAAAAAAAAACTAATTTTTCTTATATAATTAACGGCGATTAAAGTTAATTTCTCATCCGGAATAATGATATCGCAGCAAGTGGTCATTTGTCTGAAAAGTGCAATGATAAAAAAACGGTATCTTCTCATGGCCAAACGCGATGGATGTGAAACAATAACCCGTCACGGTGAATAGTAATTTTAACAGCCTTTATGCAAAAGGTAACATTTTCCATCTAGTGAACGCAACATTTTCTCTTTTTCAGTTTTACCGGGTAAAAAACTCGTTTGCATTTCGTTTAATAAATACTATAATATGAACAACTGGGCTTTGGTAAACAATTAGATTTACGTATATCAATTTGGGTTAAACAAATTAACTTCTTTCTATTCGTTTTATCTTTTGGTTAGTACTTACTTATCCAATTGATAGTGGAAAATTCGTAGAATGTTATTTAATATTATAGAACTGTGGTACAACATATTAAGTGCAGTATATCTAGGTACCTAATATAGGTACCTATTTTTATAAAAATAGTATGTTATTATCAAATTTCTAGGGGAAAGATTGGCAAAAAGGTACACACAAAATGCTTAAAATTACTAAGCTAGTAGGAACATTAAATTAAGTACTGAATTTGCAAACTATAATATCACCTACATTAAAGTCCAAATATATTTTTTAATCGCTTATGTACCTATCCCAAATAATTTTTTTAACTTTTTTATAAAATCCTCATCTTGTTTCTAAATAAACCTTAGTTCCCAAAAACTTAGTGGATTTAACAAAAATCCAATTTATTTCCAGTAAATTACCTACCTAGATACCTATATAAAGAAATTCTTTCCCCTAGGTGAACATAATTCAGTGAATAATTAAGTTGACGAGTACATACCTGCCTAACTATACCAATCGAAAAAAAATATACAAAATAAAAAGAAATATTGTTAAATGCAGGAATAAAAATTACATAGAAAACCTGGCACCTGTAGTACCTACCTAACGAAACTGCCTTTCTATCACGTCGAATTAATATGGAAACTGTGTCGCTTCTATCTTTGCGTCGATTATGACGACTTTCTTTTTACCTGACTTCCTGTCCCGCCGGCACAAACATACGGGCGTTAAAGTTTTTAAAAGCGACTACGGCTACATCATGCGTCTACTAAAAAGGACATAATTTCCTGACGAAAAACAGTTTCTCTTGCAGCACGTTCTAAAAAACGGTCGATAAAAGTTTGAAGAGCCCGAGTTTCAATAAAGTTTTATTGCCTTTTCATTGGTACAGAGGTACTGAATTTCGATTTAATATTTGAAGACTTCATTATTATGCACCATTCAGCATACAGAATGTACCTACCGGAACTTGATGAAAAATTATTCAGGAATCAAACATTTTATGATTAGTAGATAACATTTTTTAGAACACTCTATATACATGTATAGATAAAATAATGAGGTAAAAAAATGTAAACTATTTTGTATAACCTAATGCATAAGTAGGTACTATAAATAATTTCATTATATCACAATATTAACTTGTTAAATACAATTTTCACGATGATTATGTAAATATTATCAGACATATGCCAAAAAATGAACTAGAAACTCCACAATTACTATCATTTAAGCTTATTTCATTTAATCATTTTGAAACGTGATCCTTCAATTTGTATAAATGCGCGGATTAATAAAATAAAAATTCTTCTGTATACAATGAAATAAAACCCGATCATTGATTTAATTCCTCCTGAACACAATAACCATCATATAGCGGAATGAAAATAATAATTAGACGATTTAATTTCCAGGTAGTACACCGACGTTTAGTTATAATGTATGTCTCGTACGACACAATCGGGTTTTATAATGGACAAACTATACTTTATAAAGAAATAAAAAGTAATGCCACGTTGTATCAATCGAAAAAAAAATACTTATAGGAATAGTATTACGTAGATAATTTACGTCAATGACTTTATGTGCATTTTTTCGTTGATGGCTCATGATGATTCTGGGAATCGTTTGTGGTTTCAGAAATTATATTTTTACCATTATAAACCTTGGATTTTGACGATGAACATTGTGATATATGCAATTGTTATTAGACTGGAATTGAAAATTTATTTGAAACATTATCATTTTCTAACAAATAAGATAAGATGTTACATATAAACATTACACCTATAATTCTCATAATTAGTTCCTAATTGGATATACAAAAAATCATACAATATTAGTAGATAAACAAGGCCGGTTCTAGCATGGTCATAGGAAAAATAGTGTGTTAGAGAGAGAGAGATATACCAATGTGTTAGAGAGAGAGAGACGTACTCTGTTGACGTACGTCACTCCGTTGACGTATGTCACTCCGTCTGTCACAACGTGATAGACAACTCTCATGACACATGACACATGTAAATAAATATGAGAAAAAAAGGTTGTACTTGCCTGGGGTTTGAACCTCGGTCGTTTGTGGCGGAGAGGCGAGTTCCTAAGAGCTAGACTGCGGAGGCGTCGTGTCAATATTGTTAAAAGTTGAGTATATAAAGTAGTCGGGGGGGCGGGTGAGGGTGGGGGATGCGGGGTCGGGAGGAAAATTTATCGGAAATTCCTGTATTTTCTTGTTTCTGTGTGTGTGTGTGGTGGGGAGGAATGAATTCTGTGTGGGAGGTGTTGGGCAAAAAGTCGTTAAAAATCTAATGGAAATTATAATTCTTATTTGCGTTTTATCAGTGTGAATTCAATATTTTTTTATCACAATTTCCTGTTTCCTTTCCTAATTAGGTTATTTTCTTATCTTAATTAATACCAACCGGCAAACTTTTCTTTGATAAAATCCCTTATTTATAGAGGTGTTGCAGATTTTTCCATATTGTTTGAATCAAACTTCTGAACAGTACTGTGATTGTGTAGTTTTGTGTAAGAAAAGTAAGTAAATTATTTAAATATTAAAAAATAAATTTTAAATTATAAATCTTTTAGATGGATTTAAAAGAAATAAACAATGTTTCTCTTATAGAGGATAAACCAACAAAAAAAGTTACAGAATTATCGGTAAACATCCCATACCCAATTCTTAAAGCCAAAGTTATCACTTCAAAATTTGGAAAAGTGATTCTATTGGAACTATCAGATACTAAGGTGTTTCTGCCGATTAGAGTAACGAGCGTTTATGAAAAATACATTGACAACTTTGAAGAAGAAAAGTATTCCATTGTATTTCGAGGAGAAGTAGATGTAGGAAAGCCAAACAAGCTTTGTTCGTTTGAAATTATTCAAAACTAGGTATGTTATTTCTTTAAATTTAAATGAAAAATAATATTTTTTAAAAGTATTTTTTTAAAAGTAATATTTTTTTTAATTTTTAGCACCCCATCATCATCACTACATCATCGTTGTCCGGCTTCCTTCAACACCGATAAATTTTCGATCATCATCGTTGTCCGGCTTCCTTCAACACCGATAAATTTTCGATCATCATCGTCAACAACAACAACAGCGTCAAATTTTCGGTGAGCTAAGTTTTTTTTGAAAATGAAAAAATTTAAGAGTTATCTAAGTGCAGTCGATGATTTTCTTAAAAATAATGATAATATCGACTCAGCAACTTGCATTAAATTAATTAATAAACATTTAAGAAAATGTAATCTTGCGATAAAGAAGTTTAAAATTAATGTAGGACAAAAACGTAATATATTTAATAAAATGAATCAATTAAAACGGTTGAGATGTTTACTAAAAACAAACTGCATAGGTTTGGGATACAAACGACGCTTTGGCTCTAGAAGAGTTAAATGGGAAGATATTAATGCAATTTTTAATAAAAGAATAAGAACTGGAGTTATTATCAATATAAAACATAAAGATATTTCAGCTTTTTTAAATGATTCATTTTATTTATTCAAAAACAAAATAACTAAAATTTTAAGTACAATGTCAATGTTAAAAGTTAACACAACTTTTTGTGGAGATTTTGTAAAAAAATCAAATGATGAAGAATTAATTGACAGAAAATATTTTACTACTCCAAATGCGACTATTGATTTAGGAACAAATTTGTTTCATTGGTTTAAGGAAAACGTGATTGATCATATTTTAAATAAATTGTCGGAATTTCAGGAAAAGGATAGTGGATGGGCTTTACTAGAAATAATTTTGTTAGAAATCGCTATTAATAAATTTGAGAGTGGTAATGGAGGTTCATCATACATCAAATTGCCCGATCAAATTATAAAGAAACGCGCTTGTGTCAATGTTAAAAATAACGATGAAGCGTGTTTCTTTTGGAGTGTAATAAGTGCTCTGTATCCTCCCAGAAATAATCAAGAATTCACTTATTCATATCCATATTATAGTAATGTTTTAAATACAGAAAATTTTGAACTTCCAATGAGAATTAATCAAATTTCAAAATTTGAAAAAATCAATAATATTTCGATTAATTTATACGCTTTAGAATTAAAACAAAGCAAAAGTAAAAAACAAACATTTTTCAATGTATCTCCTGTAAGATTAACAAACAATAAATTGCAACGTCACGTTAATTTACTTATCATACAAAATAAATATTTCCCAAGTAAAGAGCATGATGATGATGATGATGATGATGATATTAATATTGAGAGTGATGGAGATGATGAAATAAAATATCATTATGTATGGATAAAAAACCTGTCTAGACTTGTTTCAAAACAACTTTCTAAGCACGATCATAAAAAAATTATTTGCGATAGATGTCTAAATTATTTTTCAAACGTTGAAAAATTACAGAAACATTCAGTTTTGTGTACAGAAATTAATGAATATAAAATATCTTTTCCGAATTACGATTTTGTTAATTTTAGAAATTACGTATATAAACAAAAATGTCCTTTTGTGATTTATGCGGATTTTGAATCAGTACTACAAAAGTGTAATCAAGTGTCACAAAAAACTTTAAAATATCAAAAACATATAGCTTTTAGCGCTGGTTATTATTTTAAATGTACATACGACGATACTCTTTCATATTATAAAGGATATCGAGGGGAGGATTGCTTAGAATGGTTTTCCAATGAAATGTCTAAAATTGGTAAATTTATAGAATCGAAAATGAAAGACGTCAAGCCTATGACAGGTTTCCCTAAAAATAAAGCAGAGGCAACACATTGCCACATTTGCGAAAAACCGTTTAGTTCCTCGGATACCATTGTCCTCGATCACGATCACTTCACTTCTGAATTTAGAGGTTTCAGTCACTCAATATGCAACCTTCAATTCAAAAAGCTTTTTGTTTGTCCCGTTTTGTTCCATAATTTCTCCAATTATGATTGTCATCTAATCATTAAAGAAATATGCCGAAAAGGAAAAATAAATGTACTTCCAGTTAATAAAGAGAAATATATTTCCTTTACATTGAAGGAGAATAAAAGAAGAATTAAATTTAGATTTATAGATTCATACAAATTTATGAGTGCTAGTCTTGATGAGTTAGTTTCACTATTGTGTAAAGATAATTTTAACATTTTAAATAAAGAATTTCAACATTTAGATAAAGAACAAATTAAATTGTTGACTAAAAAAGGCATATTTCCTTATGATTACATTGATAGCATCGAGAAATTGAATGAAACCAAATTACCATCTATTGAATGTTTTTATAACAGATTAAACGATGAAGGAATTAGCGAAGAAAAATATCAACATGCCTTAAATGTTTGGGAAATGTTTAATATAAAGTCTTTGGGAGAATACAGTGATTTGTACATGAAAACCGACATTATCCTTTTAGCTGAAGTTATGGAAAATTTTAGACATACAGCTTTTGAAATTTACGAGTTGGAACCAATTTGGTATATTACAATGCCTTCGTACACGTGGGATTGTATGCTGAAATACACAAAATGTAACCTTCAACTTTTAAAAGATGTAGATATGATTCTTTTTATTGAAAAAGCAATTCGTGGAGGGGTTTCGATGTGCAGTAATCGATATTCAGAAGCAAACAATAAATATTTATCTAATTATAATCCTTCAAAACCTACAAAAAGTCTGCTATATTTAGATATTAACAATCTTTACGGCTTCGCCATGACTGAACCTTTACCTTACGATGGATTTCAATGGTTAGAGTCATTTGACGATTTTAATGTCTCATCTATTCCTGACGATTCTCCAATAGGTTACATATTACAAGTAGATTTAGAATACCCACAAATTTTACATGATTCCCACAAAGATTTTCCATTTTGTCCTGAACATCGTATACCTCCAGGATCTAAATTACCTAAATTAATGACGACATTATTCGATAAAAAAGAATATACATTGCATTACAGAAGTTTAAAACAAGCTTTAAAACACGGATTGATTTTGAAAAAAATTCATAAAATACTACAATTTAATCAATCCAGATGGTTGAAGCCATATATCGATTTAAACTCTAATTTAAGAATTGCTGCAACTAATGATTTCAAACGAAATCAATTAAAGCTAGCAAATAATGCAATATATGGTAAAACGCTCGAAGACATTAGACGACATCGTGTGGTAACACTTGTAAATAGTTATGAAGGGAGGTACGGAGCAAAAAATTTAATTTCTAGTCCCCGTTTTCGAAGTAGAACTATTTTTGATGATGATTTAATGGCTATCGAGTTACGAAAAACTGAGATCATTTTTAATAAACCGTTATACATAGGTATGGCTATACTAGACATTTCCAAAACATGTATGTATGACTTTCATTATGATTTTATGTTACCGAATGTAGGAGTCGAAAAATGTAAAATTATGTACACAGATACTGACAGTTTTATTTATGAAATAACAGACAAAGACGTTTATCAGGATATTATAAAACCTTACATTACAAAATTTGATACGTCTGATTACCCTAAAGATAACCCTTACGGAATTCCTTTAGTCAATAAAAAAGTTCCAGGTTTAATGAAAGATGAGGGAAAAGGACAGCCTCTTACTCATTTTGTGGGATTAAGATCTAAAATGTATGCATATAAATTTCACGTTCCTTTAGACCAAAAACAAATGTATGAAAAATTAAGTAACTGTGAAAAAGAACTTGGAGTTACCAAAAAGTCAAAAGGAGTAAAAACTTCAGTGGTAAAAAATAAAATAACCTTTGATGATTATGTAAAATGTTTAAAAGAACATACTGAAAAGGTGGTAACTCAACGTTCGATTCGTTCTTATGCTCATAATATTTATTCTATAGAACAACAAAAAATCGGATTAAGTCATGATGATGACAAACGAAAATTACTATCTTCATCATTTGATACTTTACCTTGGGGTCATTATAAAATTGTGTAATTTTTTTTTTGTTTTAGATAATGATTCTGACACTTCAAGATATGTGTATAAAAAAAGTTTGTAAAAATATTAATTCTATTAATGATTTTCTTAATGAAAATTTATTACCTCTTCCGTTAATGGAAAAAGTCTTGATGAAATATAGTAAGTTTAGATGGAATTTTTTGGTAAAAAATGCCTATGAAAATTATGATGAGGATACGGATCTTTTGCGTCTTGAAAATTTAAACCATTTTAGTTTTTGCTTTCCAAAATATATACCTAATTATTTGCGCGATGTTATGATTACAAAAGAAGATTGGAGTACTGAATATAATTTACGAAGATATTGCGTTTGGGTTCATAAATATTATGTAAAAAACTTCAATTTAACTTTTTGTCAAGATTGTTTTCGAGAATTTGAACGAATTTTTAAAAAAGTTAATATAAATTGTAAACTTGATGTTGTTAGAGATCATCATCATAATGTTTGTGAAACTGATGATTTAACAGTTTTTTATACTAGAAATACTATGTGGTGTCAAAATAAATTTAATGAAATACTTTTTACTTTATATAGTTATAAACGATGCATTGAAAGGCTACATAATAATGAAGGAATGCCAAGGTTTATTAATGATAGTGATAGTGATGATGATGTTGATTTTATTTAATAAAAACAAATTTTTATGGTTTTATTGTTTTATTTTACAAATACAAATCCTGAATAACAATATGTTTATAATAATAAATAAACTCTCTAAGAGCAGTATGAAATAAATTATCGTTTAATATATTACAAAATTCAGATATAGCATTTATCATACCAAAAGTATTATTTGCCTTAAAATAATTTATAACATTTCTGTAGAAGGAATTAAAGTTAACATTTTTTAACATAGTTAATTTAAAACAAATCAAATTTTCGTTAAGTTCAAGAATCTGTCTGACATCATACTCATGTATATAAAAAGTGGTGAAAAATTTTTCAATTTTTAAAAACTTTATATTATCTAAAAAGATTTGAGTGACCGTAGTATAATCACTGCATTGAAATGTAAGTCTGTCGTTACTTCCATGTTGTGTTGTAGGAGATTCATTGGAGAAAAAGTCAGTGAGCTGATGGCGAAGCAAATCGATGAAGTCATTCCATTCAAGCATATTAAAAGAAACTCTTTGGAAATCACGATTCTTAAAAATAACTGCAGGATCGAACATTCGAGCTGGACTTAGACCGCAACATATTTCATAACCGTTTTCCAATTGATATACGGTTTCGAGTAAATAAAACCGTTCATCTTTTGCAGCATTCTCACATTTATCCACATTTCTGTCTATTTCAGCGTTATAGGTTTCAAGATCGATGTAATTATTTGACTGATTATCATTGTCGAAAATCACTTCAACTTCTACACTATCATCACTACTGCAGTGCCCACTATCGTCTTCACAATTCATTTTCGTATTACTAACCCACCACCTAATTATCAGCAATTTATATGTGCTTCTACATGCTGTGATTGGTAGAAATAAACTGTTTTTCATTGGTTCATAAAAATTTATACAATATCAACGTTTTCTACCCAACTGTTATATTTTTTATCGAGTCCAAGCCATTTAACGTACATTTTTTTACCTTTTCGCCTTAATACTTTTTCCACTAAGTAAATGTCGGGATTTGAAGTTTTTTGTAGCTCTTCTTCGTAAAACGCCCCACTTATAGGATTTTTATTCATATCCTCTAAAAGATACGTTACGGGATTTGTAATTTTAACTTTTGTAATTTTAAAGAGTTCCGTCGTCCAGTTCGGTGTATATCCTTTTTCAAAAACATGTTTCGCTTTTGATATGCGTACAATATCGCCAACCTTGAGCTTTCTAGGTCCAAAAATTTTCAAATGACTATATGCACGATTTAAAATCATTTTTTCGTTGGTTTTATCGACTTTAGCGGGTTTGTATCCGATCGTCCGATGTTTCGTATTATTATATTCCTTGGTAATTTCAGGTAATTCATCGATCCACTTATATTTACCTACTAAACTAAAGTATTTGTACAATTTCGTTTTCAAAGTTCTTATAACTCTCTCGGCAATAGCAGCTTTTTTTATAGTAAAAGTACTATAATGAGTAATTTTATACTTTTTAATTAAATTTTGAAATTTTGCATTGTAAAATTCCTTTCCTTGATCGGTTTGAAGATTTTTTGGGTGTCTTCTTGTTGATGATAAAATATTCGCAAAATTTTTCGTTATTTCATCACCAGTTTTCGTTTTTAGAGCACGAGTCCAAAGAAATTTCGAAAAACAATCTATAACAACCATAATATATTTAAATCCTTTGTTTTCGCGACTGTAAAGACCCATTTCAGCAAGATCCATTTGCCATAGATCATCAATACCTTTAATAATAGTACGACGACGTGGATAGTTCTTTCTCGCAGGTTTGTGGAGTTCATTAATCAATTGAATCTTTTCCTTAGATGGTTGCATTTCTTGTTTTATTTATAACGTTTAAATCTTGATCGATTTTATTTACGCTGCGCGATAAATGTGCAACTTCATCCGACAAATGTGCAAAGTTCTTATTTAACAATGAGGTTTTGTCGTGGATTTGATTTTCCAAATTACTTTTCATTATTTTCAAGTCAGCGGTGAACTGTGTTTTTGTGGTTGTTATACAACTATCTACATAATTCTTGTTTGTTAAATGATTATCATCAATAGGCAGACCTACTATAATTTCATCAATTTCACTACAATAATTGGTAATACTAGTAAGGTCTGTTTTCAGTTGTTCCAAATAATTGGTAATATTAGTAATGTCTGTTTTCACTTGTTCCAATTTATTTTCAAATGTATTTCTTAATTTATTTTCAACTTTACTTAATTGGTCGAACGTATTGTTCTTATTATCACTAAGAGCACTCGAGTGACGTCCAAACTTATCGAGGGACATTATGTAAATGAATAAAAAAATTATTCGGACGTAGTTGGATGGGGCATTAGACTGTTCACATCTTTTTCGATTTGACTAACAGAGAGCGCTAACTGTTTAAACTGTTCTATATGATTTTTCAAATCGTCGGTAAACTGTTTTTTTATATTTAATACACGATTATCTACATATCTCTTGGTTTGCCTAGGATTTTTTAAAAGAATTTTATCAATTTCACTCACTTTCTTGTCAATATTGAAAATATCCATATTCACTTGTTTAAGTATATCTTCAACTGAATTTCTTATTTTATTTTCAAAATGACGTCCAAACTTATCGAGTGACATTGTGTAAATGAATAAATTATTCCTAGTATATGATATTAGCTTCTCGAAGTTCATTTATGATTGCTATAATTTCATTATCATTGGAAGTATTTCCGGCGTCCTTGGAAGCAATTAAAAGTTTAAGACGTTCGCATAACTCGTTCGGATCATCCCAATAAATATATTCCATTGGTGCATTATTGTAGGTTAATTCCATACCCTTACCGGATTCCATAGGAGCATTATTGTAGGATAATTCCATACCCTTACCGGTATGCGGTTGCTTAGGAAACAATGGCCTTATAATACGCCTATATTTTATTCTTTGCGTTCCCTTCATACGACCTATCGAATCCTTATGAGCATTTGTTAATTTCAATATATTCTGATAATTTTTCAAATCATCGGAATTGTAGTTTTCAGGTTTAGAGTAGAATATGAGTTCATACAGTCCTGGTGTACCTCTAAATTGATATCCTTCTGTCTTAATGTAATTAAATTTTTGATCAAAATCAATATATTTATCGCCCAGTATCCATTTTGAGGAGCCAGCATCATAAACGGGACCGTAGATATCGTCAATATCTCTATGTTTCTTCCAATAATCTAAAATATATCGATGAGCCATAATAGGATATTGCTCTAAATATTCGTTTAATGCTTCTTCAGAAACGCTTTCATTACTAGTATCACCATAATCATCATCTTCAGACCGAGGTTCATCATCATTCTCATTGCTTCCTGCAATATCTAGAAGCTGTTGAAATTTTGGTTGTGGTGGTGGTGGCGGCGGCGGCGGCGGCGACGGCGATGTCGATAGTTTAGGTGGGTTTAATTGCAATGGAGGTTCTTCTTCTTTAAATTCCTCCTTTTTAACTAAATCACTATTTGTTTTTTTAATTTTACGTAGAGGTTCTATTAGCGGTTTAAACAATTTATTTAAAGATTCATCTTCTTCACTTCTACCCAGTTTTAATGCTAAATATTTTTTACGAATCGATCGTTTAAGCGTTGCAATTTTTCGCTTTCGAGCAGCGAACACGTCTTTTTCATCGTCCATCGCAAGTTGAAGTACGCATAAATAATAGATAGTTAAACTTTTATATACTCGTCAAATCCACGACGATATCTTCCATTGTTTAAATCAAAATCCTTTACGATTACTAACATTCCAAATTTGCTACTATTCCAACACTCGGAACACATCAATTTAAAAGTTTCAAAATTTATATCTGGAGACACATGTTCGTCGAATGCGTGTTTTAGATTTACTTCATCCTGCCTAAACAACACAATCATATTACAATTATCTCGAATTAATTGTTTGGGAATTTTCGAATACGTTTGACATAGATACACAGCGTCTATATCCTTATGTCGACACATTGAAAAATATTCTCGTATTTTTTGTTGACTATCACACGATACATCATCGAATATAAATATAGAATTAGGTTTTGCTTCACCGGGGCTGATAATTTCTTCGTTTTCTTTAAACGGAAAGTATCCTATTCCTTTAATGCCGCTCAAAACCTCCTTTAATAGTTGATATTTCGGTTGGTATAAGGACTTTGAGTATACATATACATTTTTAAATTTAGCTCCGTTCGGGTTGTAAAGAAGAGCCATCATTGCATTTGTCTTACCACATCCACTGGGACCACATATTATGGCGCGAAAAGAATGCGGTAATAATTTACCATGTTTACTAGATTTTGACGTCTCAGATAAAAAATCATAATTATCGACGTCTAACCTTTGCTCTTGCCGAATTACTTTCATTATGTAACGTTGATCTTTTATGTTTCGCTTTTATATATATATACAGAAACGCTAATATATTCATTTACAATGTTAATTGCTCGAGGTGAGGGTGTATTGAATACTCTTATTGATAAATTACCGTTTGAATTGCACATACCCGGATATCAATTCTGCGGGCCGGGAACAAAACTACAAAAACGTTTGCAACGTGGAGACAAAGGTATTAATCCGTTGGACGCCGCCTGTAAACGTCATGATATCGCTTACGACCAACACAAAACATTAGAAGAAAGACATAAAGCAGATTTGGAGTTGGAAAACGTCGCTTGGGATCGAGTTAAATCGAAAGACGCTAAATTTGGTGAAAGGGCTGCTGCTTTACTCGTAACTACAGGCATGAAAACGAAACGTAAGCTAGGCATGGGATGCTCATTTAAACGTCATGTTGTCGGAAAGGTACAGAAATCATTGAAAAAAAATCCCTCGTCGAACATGAAACAAACGATAGCTACAGCGTTAAAAGCGGCAAGAATGGCCGTTAAGCAGGCAGGCGGTAAGAAGAAAATTAAAATTCCACGTATTATACCTATAGAAAAATCTGGAGGATTTCTACCTTTGATACCATTATTTGCTGGTTTAAGTGCTCTTGGATCTTTAGCGGGCGGTGCAAGCGCAATCGCTAAAACTGTCATCGATAGCAAAAATGCTCAAAAGAAACTCGAAGAAGATCAACGTCACAACAAAAAAATGGAACAAATCGGAAAAGGTCTTTATTTGAGACGCAATGCGAAAGGTGGATTAGGACTATATTTAAAAAAACAAAAAAATTTTCAATAAAGCTACCCAATAGACCGTTAACAAATATCGATTTATCGAAATATGTTAAAACATTAAAAATACCAAATTTTCGCGGCGTTTTTATGCGGGATACTTTACCATCCAAGTGTAGGAGAAACGAAACGGCAATTTTGAATTTAGACATTGCGAAAAATTCCGGTACTCATTGGGTGGCGTACAGAAAGATAAACGATAATGTCGAATATTTTGATTCATTCGGTAATCTGAAACCACCGCGAGAACTAGTTCGATATTTAGGTGATAAAGTGAAAATTTACTACAATAACGATCAATTTCAACAATATAATCAAATCAATTGTGGTCATTTATGTTTAAAATTTTTATACGATGGAGGCAATTTTGGCATATAGAGATGGTAAGAAGACGTTGGAAAGTTTTACGAAAGAAGAACTGAAAGCATTTCCCATCAACTATCTCATCGACTATGTTAAACCATGGGAGCTCTTGGATGTGTGGCATAGATTACCTAAGGAGTATCAATACAATTTTAATTTACGAATTCGATTGCCGTGTTTCGTTCATTATAATAGACCGGACGAACGAACTCACTTCGATGGTCCCGCTAGCGCTCAAGCAGATTGTCATGCATGTAATTATTATTTAAAAAATGTTTCTAATAAAATTCATTAAAACTAATTGTACATCTTTAATTACATCAGTCATGTCTCGGCTATTGAACTTGTCGACTACTACCTCCGAATTTTCATTTACACCTCAAACTCCTATCGTATTAGATCCTAATAAATCCTATTATTTAAGTGTATTAGGGTTTCATTCTTACAATTCTATACCTAATATAGATGGAGAAAAATTTTACTATTATGACGATGAAAATGGTCTAGAATTAATGAGCTTCCAGATACCAACTGGTTGTTATGAAATTACCGACATCGAAGAATACATAAAAAAAGAATTGGGTATTGCAACCAATGAAATAATAGATTTTTCATTGAAACCCAACAACAATACCCTGAAATGTGAAATATTCAGCAACAAGATTGATGTTGATTTCATGAGAGAAGATAGTCTCGGTAATATTTTAGGGTTTTCCAAGCGCGTGCTCAATCGAGGAGAGTTACATACATCAGATCTACCCGTAAATATTATAAAAGTTACGAGTTTACATTTTGATTGTAACATTACCGAAGGAGCTTTCTTTGGAGATAGACCTGTCCACACCATACACGAGTTTCCTATTAGTGTAGACCCTGGATACGCAATTATAGAACGTCCTACAAACCCTCTATATTTACCCGTAAGCAACACCAGAGAAATAACCAACATCACCGTTTCGATACTCGATCAAAATAGAAAACCGGTTAATTTTCGTGGAGAGCGTAGTACCTTACATTTGGAATTACAAGAACGCTAAATGGGGTTACTTATTATAAATAAAAGCCCCTTAACAAAAGACATATCAGTTCCATTAAGACAACGAAGCCAACAGCTCACTAAGGCTAATAAATTGTTCCTTATATCTATCGGTCTGAAACTTAAGAAACCATGAATATCGATTTCGATTTGTACAAAAAACCGAGATTCGACGAAAGCGTACGCAGAGAGGAGTACCGATCGTACACTCCGTACGTAAAATCGTTCAATAATAGTGACATTGTGGAATTTATTATTAATCAAGCTGATGGGTTTTTCGCTTTAAACGAAACCTTATTGGAAATAAAAGGAAAATTGATTGTACAGGGTGATGGTGATATACAGTTGGCTCCAAATTATGGTGCTTTTCTATTTGACACTTGCGTTTACAGTCTTTGCTCGAAGGAAGTAGAAGTGGTTCGAGATCCTGGTATTGTAAGCACCGTTCGCGCGTTAACTTGCTACGCGCCCGAAAATAGTAGATTTATGAGTATCGGAGGATGGAATTTCCCTTCTACACCTATTCTATATGCAAAGGAAAGAATGTTCAGTTTATTGATACCATTGAAGCATATATTCAATATTTTCAATGATTACACAACAATCGTTTATGGAAGACAAACTTTTCGTTTTGTTCGATCACGAAATGACAATGACTGCATAATAATTAAAGAAAAGCCGGGAACACATACTACAGCAAGCTTAAAAATAGACAATATGGAATTAAAGATTAAACATATATTTCCGAATGATGAAATTAAAATTAAACTGATGAAACCGATCAATAACGATACACCTATACTCGTTCCATTCAGAAAATGGGAACTAAACGAATTGCCATCGTTAACGACATTATCGAAACGAGAAATTTGGGCGGTAAAGACTAGTGCATCAGTGGAACGCCCACGATTCATTATAGTTTGCTTCCAAGTCGATCGTCGAAACAAGCTGACTGGCGACCCGACGCTTTTCGATCCTATTGACATTTCCAGCATCAGAGTGACTTTGAACGGTGAATATTGGCCGAACGAAAGAATGCAATTAGACTTTGGAAAAGATGATTATACAACGGCTCATTACAACTACTCACAATTCTATCCCAGTTACTCAAACAGCAATGAAAAGCACCCTCTTCTGAATTATGATGAATTCAAAAAACAATCGTTATTTGTTATCGATTGTTCGAAACAAGAAGAGACCATGAAATCTTCCACTGTTGACGTTAAATTAGAAATGGAAGCAGATGTTGGATTTCCTGCTAATACACGGGCTTATTGTATTATAGTGCACGACGCCCTCTTCGAATATCATCCGCTTAGTGAAGTTATAAAAAACATAATTTAAACTGTTATTACTTTAGTCTTCATCATGAGAGTGGCCGTAGTTGATATTCAAGGGTTCTACGTTGACGGCATCTTCCTCCCGAAGGAGATGGCCATTCAAATTGGATACAAAGTACATTATAGTTTATTCAAATCACCTAAACCGTTTAATGAACTAAGTGCAAAAGATAAAAAAACTACTGTGTATTTAGAGAAGAATCTTCATGGAATAAAATACTCTTGTGGAGATATTGAGTGCACCGAAATTAATAATATTTTAAAGAATTATCTTTTATACTCTGTCGATGTAATTTATGTAAGAGGGGAACAAAAAGCAGAGTTTCTATTGAAAAAATGTCATGTTTTCGGAGTGTTTCCCAAAATTGTCGATGTAGCTAAATTTGATGGAACTCCTCAAGACACTGGTAATTTCTCTCGAGGACTCGTATCCTGTTTAAATCACCAAGGAGATGGAATGTGTGCATTAAAAAATATCTTACAACTTCATCAATGGCTAATAAATGTAGTGTTATTATTGTAATAAACGAAAATAAGTATATATTTTTTTATTTACTACGCCTATGTATCATTCTAATTATAGCGTATACTATTGCTGATACAAGCTCGTTATCTCACACAAGCGCGTCCGCCGCAGCTAATTTTGCAATATCAAATAAATGCAATAAATTTGCAATATCGAACAACAACAATGATTACATCTATACATATATATGAGTAAAGTTAATAAAAAAGAACAGTATCAAAATGAATTTGAATGAATACGAACGCACATTTTATAAAAAATTACGTTTATTAGAAGAAGAAAAAGAAAATTTGGAAAAGCTTTGGGATAACATATTTAAAAAACGAAAATTACCAAGGGCGACACCACCGTTGAGACAAATTCAACCTAAAACTATACAAAATGAACAGCACCATCAACAGCAGCAGCAGCAGCAGCAACAGCAGCAGCAGCAGCAGCAGCAGCAGCGGGGTTAATAAAATTAATGATTTAATAACGATGAATTGTATAATATTAGCATCGATATTAATTTTAATATTGAAAATTATAGTTAAAATTGTAAAACGAAAATTTCAATCTTCCTGTAATATAATTCTTGATGAATCTTATATGTTTCTATGACTTGTTCTAACTTGTTTGCTTTTTCTAATTATAAACCTATTTACTAACATATTTTTAGTTAGTAATACATTATACTCCGAAGATAACGCTAGTTTTGAGAATTAATTGCATTTGTTGATAATTTAAAAGCCGACGAAGTTTAAAAATGGATGCTCTTATAGTACTGTCAGCAATTTTTAATAACACCCTATATACAAATGTGCCAAATGGAACTGAGGAAGCGATGATTTGTTTTGAAAAATGTGACACATGGTTTGAAATGAATAATACAGTTATCAACGGATTGGAGGTGTTCTTCTTACAATTGCCGATAATGAGAGGTTATGTTAATTACAAACTTAAACTTTCATATTTTGATAAAAGTGTAAAAGAAGTGCATGGAGTAGATGTAGTAGATGAATTTTTGGATGAAGAATATAGTAAATATTTTGTATGTATATTTTTTTGTGCTATATTTTTATTATTAGTTGTTGCTACTGTTGTATGTCTTGATAGTATAACAAGACTTGTACATTGGGTATACAGAAAATGGTTCTAAAATATTTAATAAAAGTTTCAATACATTATTGTTATTTATCCTGCGAACCCGTCAACTTTGAATACACCAATTTTATCTCGAGTTGGTAGTATGCGATAAGACTGTAAAAATGCGCTTAATCGAAACTAGAGAGATAAGCGTGGTTATACTACGAAAGTATGATCGGCGAACGAAAAGATTCTTTGCGGGTTCAGTGGCAGCTGTTATAAAATAAAAAGTCAAAAATTGTAAAAAAAAACTTTATTTAAAACTCCTACGTTCACGTATATATATATATATTGTGGAGGCTACGGGCGGCGACGGTGGAGGCTGCGGGCGGCGACGGTGGATGCTGCGGGCGGCGACGGTGGATGCTGCGGGCGGCGACGGTGGAGGCTGCGGGCGGCTTACTCCGCCTCCGGGAACTATTGTGGACGATGTCGTCACGATGTTGTGGAGGCTACGGGCGGCGACGGTGGAGGCTGCGGGCGGCTTACTCCGCCTCTGGGTACTGTAGTGGACGATGTCGTCACGATGTTGTGGAGCGTTCGTTTTGGAGGCTATGGGCGGTAATGGTGGAGCGTTCATCTGTAAGGAAAAAACAGAACTAAAACATCTCAAGTCCGATGTGGAAAAATTTCAATACGAAGATACACACGATCTTCGTGTTGAAATCATTCTACATCAAACTCAAGATTTTTTTAGTTCTGTTTTCTGCTTACATGATTCTGGAAGGTCGGCGTCGGTGGATCTGTAATTGAAAAAAAAATCTAAAATTATTTAAAATAATTTTATATATATTTTTTACCATACCTGTGGGAGGGAAAGCGATCGTTGTTGGGGAGGCGACGTGAGAGGAGAGATGTTGGGTAGGCCTATCTGTAAATAAAAAAATATTAAAAAAAATTTAAATTAAAAAAAAAAAAACCAACCTCACTATCCAACAAGTGATGAAGGGCTCTGCCGCTTCAGTCTCCACCGTATAAAAAATTCTATGCCCTAGGACTGATCCTAGGGCATTGAATTGTTCCGGCAGAGTCTTCTCCCCCAACTCCGCCCTTACTGCGACTATGTTTAGATGCTGTAATAAAAAAGTAAAAATAAAAAAATAAAAAAATTAAAAAAAATTACTTACACTAAACTGGGTCGCCTCCACCGCCTCCCTCACCATCGCCGTTGCTAACGCTTTCACCGTTATTTCCAACGGCGATGGTTCTTCCGTATGGTGTTCCATTTTTCTAAAAAAAAAAAAAAACATCCAAAATTTATCCACTAAACTAACAATAAGTATCTTACCTTTTTTTCATTATCAAAACGGATTTGAAACTGGGCTCTGTTCCAATTTACCACTTTTTATAACATTCATATCCCCACTCACTTTTACATTACTTTTCCTAGTATCATGAAAGGAAATCCTGAAAAATATTCCCATGCGATAGTATAAGATAAAACCAAGAAAAATCTCGTTAATTAAAAAAAAAGGAAGTTGTCAATTAGGTATGATAAAAATAAATATAGAAAAATAAGGTTCAATTGATATTACAAAATCAAATTCTGTGTTGGTAGATAAAAAAATATTCAACGTTCACTTATATATAGATATAATTTTAGTTAACAAAGTTTGTAATTGTTCCAATAGACTGTCTTCTGGGCAGGGTATTCCGAAAAGATTCCAATTGAATTGTCCCGCATCGACTACTTTCCGTGTATATTCGCTATATTTGTAATATGTATTTTTAAGGAAAAAGTAAATATACCCATCCGTATAGCGAAATACCGATCTAATACCCTTAGGTATACCCGGAAAAAGGTCACTAATCGCTCCACGAGTGATAATATTTCCATTATCTTCGTTAAATTCAACAAATTTATCATCATCATACCAGAGATACGTTTGACCGCTATTCGTTTGAAACAAAGCATTTACTTTAGTAGGATTGAAAGTAAATGAAAAATTATTTTGTATATTTAAATTTGGAAACGATGCCTCGTAGTACATAGACGAAAAAAATGTCGCCAAGTCCCCTTTAGAGTTTTGATAAACGTGAGTAATGTTCTTCGATTTTAATTTGTGTGGAAGATAATCGTCGATTAATTCAGGCGTCTTCGGAATAGTCATATCGTTTAAATCGAATTTCCATAAAAATGATTCAAATCCAACGTACATTCGATAATTCGGAAATTGGTATGATGTAGCAAGAAACATGAAATCAGGAAACTTAATAGAACAAAAATTTTTCACCGGTGTCTTAGACAATGGTTTATTAATCGGTTTTTGAGTTGGCGATTTTTGAGGGGGTTTCGTACTCGTCGTCGTCGTCGTCGTTGGATTGTTCGATGGTGGTTTGGGTATTGGTGCATATTGATATTTTCTACCGTACAATGCTTCCATTCCCAATTTATCATCTTCGTCAAAGGTTACTTTCTCTTGATACCAATCAAACATAATCGAACTTTGAATGGAACTATGACCCAAGCCTAAAGCATGACCAATCTCGTGTGCCAGCACCGCTAAGAAACTTGTTTGGCCTTCTGGAGTCGTTTCATTACCCCAATACCAATTTTCACTATCGTCAATATGAATTTCGATACATTCATTTGGTTTTTCGGGGGGAAAATAGGCGTGCGCTAAAACTTTACCGGGGCCATCAAATAGTTGATGACACATTGATTTACCTTGACAATCAGAACGAAAATAATGTTTCTTTTTAACTACCGTTATGGTAATATCCGGTTTTGTTGGCTTCGGTTTTCTAACATTAGTAAACTTTAAATTTGATATTCCTTCCCACATATCGAAAGCCTGTTTAGCGGTGGATAAATATAAGTTGTTTTGTAAACCGGCTTGGGGAAAATACCATATTAAGTTTAATTTTTGCCATTTGGAATGTTTCATATAGTTATGTTCTCCTTGACTACATCGTGGTTTGTGCATCCATCGTAGAGTTTCTTTATTAGGTAATCCGTCTACCGGAAGATTGTATTTTTCTTGGAACGAGATTAAAGCCGTTTCCAAATCAATAATAGCATTATCAGTTTTATTTATGTACCCGAAATGTTGCAAAAATTTTTTAGCATATTCCTCATCGCTAGTAGTTATCGTTGCTGTCGATGCAGCGATGAAAACCAACAATACTCTAAACATTTTCGATACTAATTTAAAATCAAACTTTACACAGAATTTATAACCCCGCATCCCCCACCCTCACCCGCCCCCCCGACTACTTTATATACTCAACTTTTAACAATATTGACACGACGCCTCCGCAGTCTAGCTCTTAGGAACTCGCCTCTCCGCCACAAACGACCGAGGTTCAAACCCCAGGCAAGTACAACCTTTTTTTCTCATATTTATTTACATGTGTCATGTGTCATGAGAGTTGTCTATCACGTTGTGACAGACGGAGTGACATACGTCAACGGAGTGACGTACGTCAACAGAGTGACATACGTCAACGTATGTCTCTCTCTCTCTAACACATTGGTATATCTCTCTCTCTCTAACACACTATTTTTCCTATGACCATGCTAGAACCGGCCTTGTTTATCTACTAATATTCCCTTACACTTTACAAAGTAGGAAATCGTGTTAACATTTTATAATTATCTTTCGATTGAAACATTTTTTCTACCATTTATGGAAATACTGTTTGTATTTGTAATTTGCACCAAAAAAACCTAGTCGGTAAATCTTTCTAATTTATCGTTACTGTCTATTAAACATAAACGACTTTAAACAATATCAAATCAATTATGTTCGGAAATCAACACACAAGTTGTGTAACATGAAATTAACGAACTAAAATTGTTTTCTGTAATGGATTGACGCAGTAACAACGAAACTTTATTATTACACGTGCTTTTTTTAGATCCACGATAGATACATTTCTAGAAACAAATATTGATACCTAATTGGTGAAAAGGCTTGGTAAAGCTGTGGAGAAAAATAGAAGATACTATAAGATAACATAGATTAGAAAAGAGATAAATATATTTGAGAAAGTAAGTATAGAAAGAGCATTTTGGAATTAGCAATAAAAAGAAGGATAGAATTTTCAAATAACTATACCATGATTTGGCAGTAATTTATTTGTATTTCTGGATGATAATAAACCAATTAGCAAATTAGCAAATTTTGATCACCAATTTATCACATAAAATTTATCAGCCCTTTCAGGACATAGCAAAGGAAAGATAAATTCTGTAAAGTTCATATAATGCATGCCTAGATAAATTGATATCATTGAGTTATTTATATTCATTTATCTCCTTAATATATCCAATAAATTTGTGGTCAATTTTACTTAGTTCTATAGGATATTTAACTCAAAATAGACACGTCAACAGCTAAACAGAACATCCGGAATTCAAGAATTAAGACTACCCAAAAGTCCATAAATATTCAACTTTCTTCGTCGTTTTTTAAGGAATATCTACAATAAATAAGCTGAGGGTGAACGTAAGGGCGACCGAAACGGCGGGCGGGCGGCGGCAGACGGGAATACGACACGACTTGTCCTACCGGAACTGTAATTCCGGTTGAGCTGCGACCGCCGCGGCATCTGTTGTCCGAATGAATATTTATAACTTGAAGATTTACATATTATCGGTGTTCTACCATCGTTTACCGGTCTCACAATTTATTTTGCAGGTTTTGTGTCGTTCTATATAACATATAACGGACAATTTGTGCGTGAAGGAGGGTCGGCTAGAGCGAATAAAATATTCCGTTTTTCGGACCAGGACGACTGAACCTGGTATAATGTCTGGAAAAAATGTACCTACGAATGAGATTATTTGGACTAGGCAACTTGTGGAAACAATGTTTTTATGTACCTACCTTCTATTTATTCTCTTCACTTTCATGATGAAATCGTACAAATAGGTAAAAATATTGCATACCTAATTCTTTTATTTTAAAAAATCATTGTGGTAAATTTTTTAACTTGACCTGTATTACCCCTCGAAAACTACATTGAATGGAATGACCTCTTAACCCATATATTCGATAGGATTATTGTCTATAAAACAATAATTCATTTTGGCCTTTCCTTCTAATCAATTGTTGATTGTTTCAATTTGGATCGACCTGAATTTGTCCTTAAAAAAATGTCATCCTATCGTCGTCATTATCTACCAATAATTATGAATTCAAAAAATAGTATTTGATTTAAAGCGCCAATCGCCAAAACGTAAAATAAGAAATTCTATATCATAACAAAAAAATAAGTTTTACAAAACCATTTATAAAGACCACAAAATTCAATTTTCATGTTTAGGAAATCTTTTAATACGCCATCTACAGTCTAAAGGAATATTCGTGGCACGGAGCTCTTTACTTGATCAATAAAGAGCCTCTAATCCTTCTCTAAGGCATAGGAAGGTAACTATAATACATTTTTATTTAGCAATTTGTTTCAAATAAAAATATTTTTTTACAAAATGTAAGTTGCAAAGTTCAATTAGTAACAGAGTCTTATAATGAATCTTATATCAAATTAAGGGAGTGACTTTAAAAAACTAAAATTATTGTAACAAGCGGATCTAGTTCAATTTTACAATAAAGAAAAACCGAAGAGTGCGAGGAAGTGGTGCACCGTTAATATATAATTAATAAACCAGCCAACAAAAATTTAATTGAATCGCCTCGAATGGAAACGCTTCGAAATTTTTATCAGTAGATCTCTAAAGTAGAACAAGACACTTCTGTCACGGTAATTAAGAACCTTCAGATGCTTCATAATTATAGTGGCACTTGTACACGGTTTCTGACTATAGCGCTCATTTCTATACTTTTTTAACCATATCCAGTTCTATAATTAACTATTGCTTACACGTAAACGGGTATCTCATTTAAACCTGCGACCGAGCAGCCATTATTACTTCTGTTCGTGAATTAAAAAGTTATTTGCAGATCAATTTGACCCTTAGGTCCCGAAAACAAGATATCTAAAGGTTAAGAATGAGGTGTGTAAATTTCATATAATATTCTATTCAATTAATTAACTTAACCTAATTGTTATTAGTCCAAAAACAGACAAATTTTATCTACAATTATATTTTGAATTCAAAAAATAAGGGGAAATCAAACCGAATTAAATGAAGTTTGAAGACTTTATTATAATTAGTAATTATGTATAAATCTAAATTTGTTATTTGTATGCCATTGCTGGAATCGATTTTTGGTTACGATAGTACTTACCAGATCTCTAAAGCTATTGAAGAATTTAAAATTATTGTAAATGATATCAATTAAATGTATTTTTTAATAATCATACCTTTTATTTAAACTATAAATCTCTATTTA